GCAGAACAGCAAATATTGCAGAACGACAAATGTTGCTGCCTGATCATTCCTCTGAAAACTTCGTCTCAGAGGGGCACTTGGCTGTATGAGGTGTCAGTTGGCCCCTACTGGGAGGTGTCTCCCAGTTAGGCTACCTGGGGGTCAGGGACCCACTTGAGGAGGCAGTCTGTCCGTTCTCAGATCTCAAACTCTGTGCTGGGAGAACCACTGCTCTCTTCAAAGCTGTCAGACAGGGACATTTAAGTCTGCAGAAGTTTCTGCTGCCTTTTGTTCAGCTATGCCCTGCCCCCAGAGGTGGAGTCTACAGAGGCAGGCAGGCCTCATTGAGCTGCCCTGGGCTCCACCCAGTTCGAGCTTCCTGGTCACTTTGTTTACCAAGTCAAGCCTCAGCAATGGCAGATACCCTTGCCCCAGACTCACTGCCGCCTCACAGTTTGATCTCGGACTGCTGTGCTAGCAGTGAGCAAGGCTCCGTGGGCGTGGGACACACCAAGCCAGGAGCGGGATATAAACTCCTGGTGTGCCGTTTGCTAAGACCATTCAAAAAGCGTGGTATTAGGGTGGGAGTGTCCCAAGTTTCCAGGTACTGTCCTTGGCTAGTAAAGGGAATTCCCCGACCCCTTGCACTTCCCCGGGTGAGGCGATGCCCTGCCCTGCTTCAGCTCACACTCTGTGGGCTGTACCCACTGTCCAACAAGTCCCAGAGAGATGAACCTGGTACCTCAGTTGGAAATGCTGAAATCACCTGTCTTCTGTGTTGCTCATGCCGGGAGCTGTGGACTGGAGCTGTTCCTGTTTGGCCATCTTGGAATGATCCCCCCCACCTTTTTTTTTTAAAGTCGGAGTTTCACTCTTGTCCGTCAGACTGGAGTGCAATGGCATGATCTCGGCTCCCTGCAACCTCTGCCTCCCGGGTTCAAGCAATTCTCCTGCCTCAGCCTCCCTGAGTAGCTGGGATTACAGGTGTCCATCACCACATCCAGCTCAATTTTGTATTTTTAGTAGAGATGGGGTTTTGCCATGTTGGGCAGGGTGGTCTCAAACTCCTGACCTCAGGTGATCCACCTGCCTTGGCCTCCCAAATTGCCAGGATTACAGGCATGAGCCACCATGCCCTGCCTCGTTTTTGTATTTTTAGTAGAGATAGGGTTTCACCATGTTGACCAGGCTGGTCTCAAACTCCTGACCTCAGGTGATCCACTCGCCTCAATCTCCCAAAGTGGTAGGATTACAGGCGTGGGCCACCACGCCCAGCCATTTGGAAAATCTTTTTAAAAAATAGGTGACTTACACTGGGCATGGTTGCTCACACCTGTAATCCTAGCATTTTGGGAGACGGAGGTAGACAGATTGTTTGAGCCCAGGAGTTAGAGACCAGCCTGGGCAATGGTAAAACCCCATCTCTACAAAAAATACAAAAAAAAAAAAAAAAAAGCCAGATGTGGTGGCACGTGCCTGTATTTCCAGCTACTTGGTAGGCTGAGGTGAGAAGATCCACTGAGCCTGGTGGAAGGTCATTGCTGCAGTAAGCCATAATTGTGCCACTGCATTCTAGCCTGGGCAACAGAGTGAGACCCTGTCTCAAAAATAGAATAGAACAGTATACATAAAGTAGATGAGTTAAAATATTTTACATTATTGATATGACTGTTATATCACATCAGTAGTAATGGTCTCAACCCAGTTATATTATCTTATATTTACT